AGAAAACAGCTTAAATATCATTCAGTGAACTGTGTTGTTGTTCATTGTTAGAAATGCCAGGGGAGGTCCCCAAGGATTCATGTTCATGACATAATGCCCTCCAATATGTTTAAATTAAGAATAAAGATCACTTTGTTCCCCTATTCCCCCAGCTCCCATGGTATGGTAAAGAGATCAAAACTGGAGGGTTTTATAGGGAACATCTTTAACATTTGCTCTGCTCTCAGTGTGCTTGATTAAATGTAACATTTTGAGATCCCAGGGCTCTGAGAAAGGCATAAATCATTGTCTCACAGCTGCTGGCGTGCCTGGGGAAAACACATGCTATCCCTTATTCTCCCTCTCTTTTCGTCTTCTCTATGATCATAAAGCCCACCCGACCCGCTTGCTACCCCAGCCCCCCAGCCTTTGGTGCAATTCATGGTGGTGGAGGGTGAGAGGAACACCTGCACGCTGCTGCTTGCACTAAAGTTCGCCGTGTACCTCTAGTCCTACACACTCACTGGCCCTGTACTCCCAAGTCCAAGGCCCCCTTAGTCTTTCCCATCCATCAGCAGTGACAGGACCCAAAAACCAGGCCAATGAGGAGAGTCAGCCAGCCACTGTCCAGGGATCAACATGATCAAGTTGTCTCTTGGGCAGCACTGATAATTTACACGCACTGGATCGGGAATGATAAAGCTAAGGATTTTAAAGCCCAACTAATGTTTAAGGCACAGCATTGCCCTGATTGAATTCACAAAGCATTTATAGATCTAATACAGGTCAGACTATAACCTGCTCCATTCTGGGCTGTCAGCTGGAAGGGTAACCTGTGCCCTTCTGGTGTAGCTGCTCTGAATCGAAGCAGCTGCCTCACTTCCTGAGATCCAACAGTCTCTTTCCTTCCACAGCTGCCTTGTTTTCTTTCCATCTATGTTTTGCTCGGTCCCTCACTGTGTTTTTTCAAGTAATTAACAATATGGCATTGATTTCTCATTATTCACTGTGTCATAACACAGAGCAGATGGTGATTGTGCTTGTTTTTTCTAGGGAAATAGGATTAAAAAAAATGAAAATTAAAAAGAGGAGAAAATCTGGCTATTGTGGGTCCTGTGGGACTGCCAACATATCTCATTGCTTGGTCCATCTGGAATGACTGCTCCATTAGAGGAAGTCATGTGGAGCTGTTGTGTTCTAACGCAAAGGGTTAACGGGTGAGATACAGTATAAAGTTACTATATGGCTTTGGATTTATAAAAGAGAACATTTCAAAGCAGAGCTGTGCAGTTCTTCTGCATGAAAAAAACCCATGCCTTTAATTGTGCTTAATTTATTAGAATGTTCCAACCTCAGCTCTGTTAAATGAAAACACATTAGGATCTGCAGAAGTTCTACAAGTGTACGGGGATTCTCTCCAAAGCCACCCCTAGCCACTCAGCCCTCTGTTCGTTTTCTAAGTAAGTTGGAATTTCGCTTTAATTCACTGGTAAACAATTAGACAGAAAACAGATGTCTCTGGCCATATTTGAAAGCAGCTCATCTCCTTGGTGAATGAACACTGCAAGGAATACTTTGAAGTAGTGAGAGATAGAAAGAGATTAGGGGGAAAATTTAAATGTGCATTTAAATGGTTGGATCATAGACTTAACTATTTCAAATACAATAATTTGAGGACACTGGAAAACAACTCGTGTTGTTGGATTTCTACTGTGAATTATTAGGGAGACAAGTACGTCACAGATTTTTCAGAAGATATGTGATTAGCATAGAAATTAATTGTCTATCTTTGCCCGTTCAGTTTTAAAAGGTCTAGAAAAAGAAGTATGGAGAAAAAGCCAGCGATCTCCAGCAGCTGTCACTTTGTGACAGAAATGAGAGAGTGCAGAAATCACACATTCACGACCGGAGGGGAACCAAAGAAAATTATTCTCTGATCTTCAGAATCAACAGTAGTCAATCACATGCACTGAAAATGAATAGTATATACTGCATATATATTTCAAGCTACCTGAAATACAAACTGTTGCAAGATTTTTTTTTGTGATACAAGGAAACATCGTTGCTCAAACGAGCTCCATTTTTCCACTGTCTGGATATTTTACCTGTCGCTTTATTTCTCTCTTTCTCTTTCTCTCTTTCTGTCATAAATCAAGTCCTCACTCCCAGTCCTTCTCTTACGCTTAGTGGCCCGACACTCTGCTCACTGTCCCTCGCTGGGTTACAATAATATTAAATATTTTCTTAATTATTATTATTTTATATTATCAATATATTTGTTTATATCTGTGTTTTTGATGTTTAGATGGGGGGTTAATTTTAATTTAATTAATAGTATCTTTCTGGGGGGGCTGGAAAAAATTTATTTGTTTTTAATCACTTTTAATGGGGAAAATGCAATTGAGACGAGCAGATCGACATACGAGTGCTGTTGTGGAACGGATTAAATTTGTATACTGAAGTCCCACTGTATGTATGTATATGTATATATATATAAAGAAAGGTACAAAGTATGCTTATTTAAAATACATTGAGGATTTATGGTGTGTTCAAACACATCACTTCAAGCTATACTTTGATGCCAACACTCATTTAATTTATTCTTCATTTAAACATTTTGCTTTGAAAACTCAGGAAGAAAGATCTGACGTCAGAGCACAAAGTTGACGTGGCCTTCATATGAAAACCAGAAGTGACAAATCAAATGTAAAATGTAATATAATCGTTGATCGCGCCTCAATTTAATTTAATGTTTTCACCATGTCGGTCGTCCAGGGAGCCTGTTTTTTCTTTGCAACTTCAGCCACACATTTACTGTGTAATAATTGTCAATTTTATAAATGGAATCAATAGGGCCACAAGGAACGCACAAAATGTCTTTGATGTCAAGTCCAAGAGCTTCAGAAATTCACAAATGTTGTGATCACAAAACACTGGCCCTCAGAGTGGGTCCTGTGGGACCATAAGCGTCAGACCATTTAGAATGGTGCTACTCCACTTTTCATCTTGGGCTAAATGAGGTGATACATCAATCATTCTATTAACGCTGCTCCAACAGGCTCCCAGTCACCCTCTGCTTGACAGCAGGGACATGGGACTTGTGGACGGAACACAGGCTTTGAAGTCACCCTCACCACCATACACAACGCAGACTCCAAAAAATGCCTGTGCAGACACACACACACACACACTCACACACGTATACACAAAAACTGAGTCTGGTGATACTGTTATTGTCAAGCAACACTGTTGTGTCCAGCTTTGACTGAATTGACAGGTATGCTATAGATAAAAAGGAAAGATTCTGGCAGGGTGTGCATGTGTGTTTGTGTCAGCTGTTCTGTTGTTCTGTTGTTGAAATATACATGACAAGTTCAAATAAAATAGACATAAAATCAATGCACAACATCGTTGTGGATGGCATAAATGGAACACCTACTGATCACACTGTCAAGGTACCAGAATCTTGAAAGGCTGTTGAACGTAGTGCAGCAAATGGCATCAAATTTAGTTCAGAGTACAAACACATGCAATCTAAAAATATTATTCAGAAAAGGTCCAGAGTTTAGATAGAGAGAGAGCTTCCTCTTAGAAATTAACAAACTGCCATCTTTCTATTACTAACAATGTTGTGTCAATGTGGAAATCAATACATCCTGTTGGATTGCCTTCTAAAATTTGCATCAGGATTTCATATATAAAAATATATTAATTGTCTTAATTGTTTTAAGGGCAGCTTAGAAACCAATATTCCACAGGGTTTATTGGTGCTTCTTAAAATATCTTGGGCAAAAAATGGGGTGATAAAAAAGTCAGTCCAACTTTGTCAGAAAATCAACACTTATCAAAACCGTTCAGTCACTGTGACTCAAAGTGTGCAATTTTCCATTATTAAACATTATTTGTCTATAAAGATGTTTTTGTCTTTTTGAATTTGCTGTTCAGGGATGAACTCCAAATCCACCATCTCTAAGTTGAACTTAGAGACTCCACTATGCCATGTGCTACAGCTGTATCTTCTCCTCACTGTCTGAAACCAGCTGAGCCCAGCTCCATCCCCGTCTCTGCACTGACATGTTTAAAGTGTGGAGGCCTGATATGATTCAGTGCCCAGTTTGTGGGTTTACATGAGTCAAGGCCATACTATGAATCTCCAGCCCTGTCTTAAAAGTGATGTACAGTTTTGACTCTGAACTAAAAAACAAGTACTTTGAGAACTAAAGGTGTATTGTTTTACACAGTGGAGAGCAGGCTTCTCCTGTATCTGTTTTCAACAGGAGGTTGTGGAAAAGCTCCTGGTGTAGTGGGAGTCTAGACTACATTAGGTTTCCAGTATTAAAAGAATTCAGAAAACAACAAAAAAAATCAGAAATGTGGATTGTTGAATCTTGGAAAAAACTAAAAAGTGTACCCTTGACAGACGTTAAAGCTTGTTTGTATCTTTGAAATTCTATTCTCCAAATATCTATTGTCTCATTTATGTTCATCAGCACCACTACTTTTTAAATACATGGATTTGTAGTCTTTAGAAAGTACCACTGAATGATCCCAGTCTTACTCATCATACATACACCCACACACTCTCACGATGACACTACAGAAATAATATGTGGTCTCGGGACGCACTGCTGCAACCTGACATAAGTGCAACCCCTCAACAAATGGAAACCTCTAGTGGTTAACGGTTGTGAGCCAGTTCAGCCCAGAACTAACAAAGAATAACAGCTGTTTAAAATCTGATTCTGCCTGGACAGAGACACTGAGCTACAAACCTGGCCCTGAGGATTATGGACAGGAAGACGGTTAATGGCTTCAGTAAACAGTTAACATCAGTTATAATAAACAAATAGGAGACGGAAGACACTCAGTGACAGCATGGGAAGAAGCACGAGTCAAGACCTTTGCATTAGATTAACAAGATGGAACATGGAGTTTATGTGCTTGTCATAGATGCAAATGCGAAAACAAAAACTGAAAAGTTTGTTTAAAATAGAACATCAATACAAAACATAATCCCCTACCTGAGGTCCGGTAACTGTCTCCTTGTTGAGGGACCAGAACAGAAAATGCCAGCAGGTCAGGAGCGAGCAAAGATTCTGGTTTGCGGATCTCGTTAAGCCAGAGGCTCATATGGAGGTCTTTGGTGTCAGACGGTCCCTGAATAAGAGGAACCAATTTCTCCTTCCCTCCTTCACCTGAACCTGGGAGATAGAAAGCAGATAACTTTGTAAATACAAAATCACAGTTATTTAAAAGTAACACTAATGATTGAAAATTGGGCCAAAGTGTTGTATAACTTCGTTATGAATATAATGAATATAACAAGATGATGTGCTGATCCAATGCAGTTGGCTATTTAACGCTATGAGTAAATATTTAATATAACTCTAAATATTTTAATACTGTAGTAAAGCTGGTTTTACCCAGACTTTTCATTCACCCTCTCTTGTAAGTAACTTAACCACCTCTGTTAATTCACATTTGAACATATTTCAATGTACTTTTTTACAAGTAGCTGCAGTATATTTCTTGTTATGTTTATTCTGGTAAACTCTCTCATTGTCTCTAACAACTGATTTGTAAATAACAGTGGCCCAAAAGAAAACAGCAACTCAGAGATGTTGCAGTAAAACAGTGTATATAACGATGTCGAGGCATTGAATGTGTAAAAGGGCGCATTATAGAACGTAAGAGAGTCTAGTCGGTTTAAGTCGCTGCCTCCTACACATGCAGTAAAAGTTTTAACAGGGCACAGCTGCACACACCTGGGGTCCTGGCGCACACTTTTACAGCTCCCAAGGTTCCAGAGGCGCATTTCACCGTCGCACGGCTGCAGAACTTCAGCTCCAGGTTTTGGACCGAGCCCTCGAGAGTCAGTGACGGGCCCAGAGATTTCACACCTAATAAAAAGAGAAAACTCCAAAGTGAAAATGAAGTGCAGTCCAGCAGGTGTAAACACTGCTGCCGTGGTTTCGTCAAGCACTAGATTGGCCTTTTAATTAGTCCTGACCCCTTTAGTTTTTCTCCCACAGGGAAACTAACTCCTCTCACACACAGACTTCCTAACAAGGCATTGCAGGGCCAACATTCACTCACATTCACACCTAGAGTCAACTTACAAAAGTCCAATTAACCCTAACTGCATGTGGTTAGACCGTGAGAAGAACCCAGAGAACAGCAAACTCAGAAATGAACTGATTTACTCACAGTTACTTACTAAATGGGTATACATGCTACACCCTTATACACTTTAAATGTTGTATTAGCTGGGCAACACAGTTCAAATGTTGTCATTATTAGTTAAACTCATTTCAGCACAAAACAGTAATATCATCAAAACACACCACAATGTTGCTAAAAAAAATTCACAAAGATTGTTTTTAAAGATGACAAGTGACAAACTGTTTCCTACGTCCACGGTGAATGGATGTACGTTGTTTGACTCCAACGTTTGTCAGTGAAATGACAGGGACTATTAAGAGTTTAAGCAACAGATCATTATGAAAAGTTTAACTTTCCGAGGAAATATCCATTTGAGTCCTGTCTGTATTAATCTTGATGTCAACCTCAACTCTCCTAACAACAGCATTACATCAAATCAGCCTTGTCCTCTGCCATCTTTCCAAGATGTGACTGTTTGCACTGTGGTAAAGTAAGCACAGAGGCGGGAGGGCGCCACACATTTGCCGTTATGATAAGTCAGTGTTATTTCTATGGTGAGAGATGGTTTCAAACACAAAACAGCATAAAAAAAGAGAAAGGCAGTGGATTAGGAAAAAGACGCATTGGACTAAAAGGAGCTGTGCTCCAAACCGCCTGTGGAGAGAGAAGACGACGATCCATTCATCAAGTTACATTCTTCCAGTGAGCTGGAACTGTCGGAGGGAATCACATTAACTTCTTACATCACCTGTTCCAATACGACTTCACTTTTCAGAATTATTCGCTCACACTGTGATAGCACTTCATTTCCTAAAGAGGTCAAGTTAGATGTTTCAGCTGACTGAAGTTTAATTTCTGTCATATTCAGAGACAGTCAGAGACACAAAGATCAATAAGTCACGAGAAAAGACGCAGTGACAAATGAAAACAAAGTCTTCAAAATGAAAAACAAAAGACAAAAAAGAAATGGAACAGATTTATTGGCTACTATAGATTTATTACCTACTGGTGCATATAAGGGTATTGCATTAATAAAGTACAGATGAGTGGTGCTACTATAGAGGCTATGAAAGAATACAGGGTCAGTATTTGGCAACAGTCCCTAGAGCTAGTCTGGAAATCTAAAGGCTTTTATTGATCCACCTTTTCATCATAGCTGGTTTTATGTTTTACTTGACTTTACTACCGATCAGTTCTCCTGAGTGATTTGTAAAGCATTTAACAGAAAGGTAGAAACTAACTAACTAAAAAAAACATGAACAACATTTCATACGCAGGTGTTAATCCTGAGCAAATGTCTATCTAAAAAGTAATTTTAGGGTTAAACAAATATTTCGTGTAAAAATAGGGAGATTAAAGTGGACATATGTACACATTACATTAAACTGAGGGAATTACCGACAATTGCTAAATTCTCTAACCACTGACTTCCCTCTCCTGCCTCTCACAGACAAATTACCAGGCAACTTCTTCACCTGCTGTCTAAGAGGTCATCCATCAGCTCATACGTAAGATAGGAATGTTAATAAGCCTCATTTAATACACCTGCGGTTCAACAGAGTACTGCTGCATCTGTCTCTGAGGCTTTGGTCAGCTGAGTATGTCCCAACTTCTGTAATCAATTCTTTATGAGAAAAACTTAGGAACTTCTAGATTTCTCTCTGAAATATTATAGTAAAAGATCAATATATTTATGAAGAATTACTTTCAGTTTATCCCTTTCTACATTTGAGTAGCTGTCTGGCTTCTTTTCCTTTCGGCTTTGTCCCTTTTTTCAGGGGTTACCACAGCGAATCAGTAGCTGTCCGACTAACAAGCCTTGTAAAAGTGTGAGGGCAGAGAGTTTACTGACTGTGAGAGAAATAGACAAGCTGTAAAAATGTAGGAACAACCGTTCAACAAAACCTCACATTATTATGAATCAAAGGGGTCACCACAGCAGTACTTCATACTATGATTGAGTTTTTACAGTGATGGCTGGCACGGCTAGGTATTGAACTCAGAGCCTTCTGGTTACATGCAGGACACCTAGTACTGTACCACTGTACCCAAGAGCAATCATTATGGTGTATTACAGGTCATATAGTAATGTTTCCAATTCTATGGTAGAGTTCTCGGAATTCCACTTTAAACCTGAGACATTCAGGCTATTGTCTTCATGAGCTACACATGTGGAAAATAGGACATGATCATTTCATGTAAAAGATATCATCAGACAATGAAGATAATGGATTGATTACTGTATTATTGTAGCCCTAATTAAAAGGGTTTCCCACAACACAGCACACAAGCATGTATTGACAAGGTTACTTGATGTAGTCACGTTCCAGCAAGAAAGACAAAACAAATGACTGACACACATTTCACACATTTGAAATTACAGCTCAACACCGGAATCCAGCCAGAAAATCCATGACCCATGCTGACCCATGTTCTTATACACACTGTTTCCCTAGGTTCACTATTGTAAAGCTATAGGCCGATGTGAAACACGCCAGGAGACATTGTGGTCTACTCTGGTTGCCCTTTGATAAGAGCCCAGAGGGTATCACTATAACAGTCCCCACTTGCCCACATAAATGTCCTAAAGGGCACTGAACACCTGCTGGGATTGAGTCCTGTTGGGTGGGAGGACTCTGGACAATGTTTTGTCCAGCTGTTGGACAATAAAAAAGTCGGGGTACACAGGAACAGGAAAAGCTCAAGGGTTGGTAGTTTGTTGGTTTGAACTGTGGAATTCGGATTTAGTTTGTGGGAATTACTTCTGCAGCGCGCGCGTGTGTGTGTGTGTGTACTAGAGCCAACACACAGTGTGTGTCCGTGCTTTCCTCTGTGTGTGTTTGAAAGACTGAGTGAGTGAACGTGTGCGGCGCTGGTACTTGTCAAGTAAAGGCAGGTGCAAGGAGTACATAGCCACACAGCTTGGGGCCAAAGGCTACAGCACTCCATCAAACACTGAGAGGGCAACCGTGGGCAGCTGGATTTGCCATCCTGAATACTGAGAAGGGTGTGGAAAAAAAGAAATGCAGGGATGAAAAGTCAGTGAAGAAATATTGAGAAATAGGAAGAAAAAAAGGAGAGAAGGAAAAGAAAATATATACAATATGGAAGGTGTTTCTTCTCCCTTTTTCTTTTTAAACACCTAAATATATGGTGTACATATGTCTTTGTGTGTGTGAGAAAGAGAGACATCTGCAGACTTAAAAGCCATGTTGTACACATTCCAACATGCTCTGCTCGTACTGCTTTGAAGAACAGTATGGGAAAGTTGTCTTACAACCCTGGCAGTTTGGACAGCAAATTTTGACTTTGCTTTATCCATTGAAAGTTGTTTGAAAGTTTGGTTTAGTCCAATGATTTATTGAGGATTTTGATTAGAAACTGTCAAAATGAGAGCCTCGTTTATTATACAATCAAACAGAATCCCTGCAACAAAGCACTTAAAGCTACATGAACTTTTTTTTTCTTTTCAAAGTTAAATGTAATAAGGGATGTAACAACCCTTTAATCTATCAAATCTTTTGCTGATGACTCTGCGTCGTCAATTAAGTTGTGATGCATTCAAATGGTGATGGTTAATGGTCTGTTATAGCACTTTTTTGATGCTAATGCCCATCTACCTACTGAAATTGTCAAAAACCTGAATCATGAATCTGTGTTGATTTTCTTCATTCTCTTGTTAACACATGCAGTCCATTATCACAAATAGATTCAAAAACTATTCTTCTAAAAAAATAAATTCATAAACCCACATCCTCATCGGTAGGTAGACTGAGACAATAACAAACGCAGATAAAATGGAAACCCTAAGTGCTAAAAGGTCCAAGTCTGGAGAAGGGCCCACAGCAGCAGCTAAGGGGCTGATGAGAAAGAAGAAAAAAAAGACTAGGTAGCCTTTGACAGGTTGGGTAGACCAAAAGCAGCCAGTTGAGCCATTAAGTGCTGATGTAGAAACAATAACTGTCTCTCTGTAGTCGGGGGGGTGGGGGGGGGGGCTAAAGTAGAAGCAGTAAGTAGGAGCAGGAGGTCTGCTGGAAAGCTGCCCAGTTCTGACATGGAGAAAAAATACAGACGCATGCAGAGATTGTGGGACAGGAAAACAGACAAGGTGAGTGGTTCGTCCTGCAGTTAAAGCTGAGAACAGAACAGCACTGGCAGCAGGCAAACAAGACAGCAGCCGTGGGACAGATCCGTTAACGCAGTCTGATTTCATTTGATCACAACTGGATTTACAAGTTTACAGGAGACTTTAAAAATAATGTAAAACACTGGTGTGACAAAGTTCATCTTTAAAACAGACCTCAGGTTAGAAACCACTTAGGTGCATGGTGCCAGTCCAATGTCTGAGTAGGAAGACTGGATCGCATCAAGACATCTGCCGTAAAACTGTAGTGACCCAATAAAGAAAGGCACAAGCCTAAAGTGATTTTCTTCTTCTTTTTTTTTTATCACGATGGTGATTTTCAGAAAGCACCAATTCAAACCAGTCAATGAATGAAATTGGTTACAGAAAATATACCTGAATATTTGCTACAGCAGAACTAAAGCAATTCAGGTAACAGCAACAGCTGCTTGGAAATGAATGAAACAGTGTCTGGATATTTTTTATTGAAAAGCAATGGTTCCCATTGCTAAATAACAACAAACATGCAGCCCACTCAAAAGATGATTTCTCTAAATGTCTAACATAAGAACCTTTATTTTCTAAAGAAAGGAACAGACCAAGAAAGGGGCAAGA